ACAAAGGACTAACTCAATTAACTTTAACAGAAAATCCTCCATTTTAAAAATATGGCACAAGTACCCCAAAATGACACATGTTCCCATAATAGTTATACCCCCTGATAGCCCTGATCTGGGTGAACAACATATCACCCAGATCAGAGCAGGGGCTCAGGAAATTCCTGGAAGTCTCTTTTGACTGACCGCCCGCACATTTTTATGCCCAAAACAGTTCCAGAGAATTAGGCTGTGCGGCTGGTCTATTTTTAATGTTAACAGTTCACTTTGAATGCACGAACGGGTGCCGTTTGTGCACAAAGTCCATGTTGAAGTGCCGTTCGAATGGTCGAACAGCAGTCGACTCCAGTCGAAGATTCAAAGTCCAGAGAAGGTAAAGTTTTAGCGGTGTTCGTGTCGTCGCGTGTCCGATTTGAGTTCCATGAACTCGACAACCAAACAACGCTGAACGTGTTCGACTGAATTAAAATGGCCGCCGCCACGTGTTCGTATGTCGAATGGTGGCCACTTTGACTACTTCGGCTGTATCTGAAGTGCCACTTGAAAAGTGCAGATCCTTTCCAATAGAGTTTAAAGGGTCAGAAGCAGTGTTTTAGAATCCAATATACCCAGATAGTGTTTTTAATGGGAAATCCATCCCAGGGGCCATAGTCACAGGGCAATAGGCTGGCAAGCAGGCCTCTCCAAAACCCAGTGGCAAAGTGCAATTAGTCACAGTGACCCTTGATCCCCTGATTGATTCTCCTTGCCTGCTGCCTGACTTGACTCCGGATTGATCGACTTCTCTTGTCTGCTGCCTGATTTCGTATTTATTGACTGCGCTTCCTGCTTCTTCCCTTCTTGGAGTCTTCATCTGGCTTCTTCCTATTAAAGGCCTCTGTGCCACCACAGACCCTTCTGGACCCTATCCCCACTTCCAGGTGCTCCTGAGTGTAAAGGAGTGATGTTCCACTGCAATTGGGTTCCGTCACCTCTCCAAAAATCCCAGGTGGGTGTGACACCGTGAGGTATTCAAAAACACATACCCTGGTCAGCCCGGTTGGAGTGGGTGGGAAAAATACTCACCTCTTGACTTTATGTCATGTTAATAGTAAAATCTGGGAATTTATTTAATGACACGGAGGCTCATATTATGCAAGTTCAAAGTTGAGCTATCACCCAAAAGGAAATATGCTATATGGGACAAAAATAGAAATTACGAAATGTAGAGTCTTTAGACCAGTCTGCAACTTTCATAATGTATTTCAGTCTGCAACCCACTACAGATGCTTTGGAAGCCATGGCACCCCTGACAGAGGGTGCCGGAAACAGGGATGTATCCACTCCTGCCATTGCCATTACGTCACGTATCCAATGAGCCAGTGAAATGGTAGACACTGGGAGATGCGGTCTCCGAAAGGAAATGAAGAGCTGGTGATGACCATCAGGACGAATGGAGCATGTTCGTTCCAAATAGGATTTTACACACAAAACTGGGCACAATGCAGGCTTATCCGGAAATGCTGGATAAAGTACAGATTTAGTAGAAGACTGCGTCCTACAAGTAATATCGAAATATATTCCATCGAGAAGGAAAACCAGAGCATTCCAGTCCAATGCTCGTACATCCAACACAAGCTTGCATGATATCAGGCAGAATAGCATGAGTAGCTTCCATGAGAGTTGTTTAAGAGATAACGTATCATCTGTAAACCAATACTCCAACAGACATAACACCACATTGACATCCCAGAATTAGGTATATCTTGTCCGAGGAGGTCTTGAAAACCTTTTTTCCTTTTAATAATCTACAGACTAGTTTGTGGCTCCCGATCCATTGATGCCACAATCTATCACAGATTGTAAAACATTGACAGTCCTATAGGCCTTTCTAGCATCGAAGATTGAAGTCAGGAAATGAAGAACCATATTTAGAGGGGCAGTGATTGTTCCATGCACCACCTAGCCCAAGATCGCCATGCCTTTACGGTAGGCCAATCTTGTGCCTGGGGTCCAAGCGTTCGTGAGGAGTCAGAGAGTAGATTGTGGAATGCCAGGGATAGTCCAGGTACTACTGAAACTAACCAAGCCACCAGTTGGAGAGGACCTTGATCCACCAACTTGTGTGACTTCCCATCCGGGTCTGCCAGGAGCCAAGGCATGGTCGGGATTAAACGTGGGAAATCCAGAGACATCTCCAGAAGGCGCAGGAACCATGGCTGAGTTTTCCACAATGGTGTGATAATCACCAGAGAGCACCTGTGTCTTCATAGGTATGTCAGGGTCCAAGGAATCATGATGAATGGTGGAAACGCGTAGATCCGCTTATCCGTCCATCTCTGCAGAAATGCATCTACCGCTAGTACGTTTGTGTCCTGTCTCCAGCTGTAGTAACGAGGTAGCTGGGAGTTCAGTCTATAAGCAAATAGATCGATATCTAGTGGGCCCCACAGTTTCTTGATTGTCAAAAAGGTATCTCGAATTCCAGTCCGCCCATGAGTTGTCCAATCCTGGAATATGTTCCCCTATGGCCGAAAAATTGTTGAGGAGGCAAAACTGCCAGAAGTCTTTCACCACGTTCGCCAATAGTTTCAACTTCATGCCCCCTAAGCTATTGATATAGCTCACTGCCGACACATTGTCCATCTTGAGCAGAATGCAGCATTTCACCCAGTTAGGCACCAGGCTGCGGATGGCAAAGGACCCCGCTAGGAGTTAGAGTCCGTTGATGTGCATCGAAGATTCCGCCACCGACCATCTGCCTCTGGCAGAGATATTACTGCAGCACGCAATCCTCCCGCGCTTCGGAATCTAGAGTGAGGCACGACTCGTAAGAGTGGTCTAGCCTCAGGGAAGAATCTTTGATCCTCTGAAGTGCTCGGTAGTGAAGTGGCCCTCGGGAATATTGCCTGGATGGAAGAGGCAAGTAGCCCTATCATCCTCGCTAGCTGTCATACCGACAAGTCCCGAGCTTGAAGAGTAAGTTTGATCTCTTCCTCATGGCTCTGAGCTTGGTGTCTAGAAGATAGAATACCTGGGAGACGTCGAATGCCAGAAATTATATCATCTGAGTTGGGTGTAGAATAAATTTTTCCGAGTTGATGAGAAAGTCCAGGTCTTGTAAAAGCCGTACCATCCATTGCAGATGTGTACGTAGATGATATGGCGAGTTCGACGCGATGAGGAAGTCATCCGGATAAATGATCAGACGTACTCCTCATTCTCGTAGGGATGACACCACTGGTTTCATCAATTTGGTGAAGCACCATGGGGCAGAAGAGAGTCAGAATGGAAGACAGGTAAACCTCCATCTCCTTCCATGCCATGTGAAGTGGAGCAGGTCCCTGTGCTCCACTGCGATAGGTATCATCAAGTAACCATCCTTCAAGTTCAGTTTGGCCATCCAAACCGAGGGCAGAAGGAGGTCTCTTAGACAGTTGATGCCCTCCATTTTGGAGCGCCAGTACCTGATGAATGTATTCAGGGTCTGTAAGTTGATAGCCGGCCGGATGCCTCCGCCTTTCTTGGGAACGAAGAACAGATTGCTTGTAAATCCTTGGGAGTGGTTTGGAAATTATTGGATCACATTTTTTGAGAACATTTTGGAAAAGATCAGATCCTCAGCAGCAGCAGCAGCAGCATTTACTTTCACTATCTGAGCACGGGGGGAAGGACAACACCAACATTCCTTTCTTCAGCTACAAGGGACTCCTTGGCAGCAAGCCAGCAGCATATCCAGATGGCAAGGAGCTGTAACAGCTTCTAACAACAGCTTCACAGCATACTATCTTATCATGCTTTCTGCTTACACAGTCACAGGAAAATGAAAGTTACACAGTATCATTAATAGAGAGCTGCCTGCTACAATATAAGATCGGACTCCCTTTTTTCATTCCTCTTGTTCTTTTGCATATTTTTTATATTTTTTTATATTTTGTATGCTCATTTTTTCTACCATATATTTTTTAATGCTTTTTAATATATATACCTTACTTTCTACTATATTATATAGAAGTGTGCACACTATATATAGCATTAATATCACCACGTATTGTTTTATGTTATTGTTATCCAATATATTTTTAGGCTTCAATAAGATAAATAAAATGTTTAATATGTTTATTATCTGTATGTGACAAGATTGTATTTTTTGCGCTTCTTGAATATTTCTATTTTTATGTGCACTGAAGGAACCTCTATTGACCCTATGTGGGCCTCTGAATCCACGGCCAGGCGGATGGCTCCTTGATCTCCAGGTCCCAGTGAAAACCCGAGGGTTAAAGACCCGCTTAATGTTAGCCTGCACCTTGTCCAAGGCCCTAAATGTCTGAACAAAACGAGCCAAGGTCTTTAATAAATGACGCTCCGAAGTGCATACCCTTGGGCTCAATCTTGATCAGAATAGCTTTACGCTGTTCTGTTGACAAAGCCGTGTTGGCATCACTGAGAAGGCAGATTAGCCTTTGTACCCATCCAATGGCCACATCAAAATTGAGCGATGTCTCTCCCGCTTTGGCAGACTCAAGGAGCTTTGCCGCTGGTCCCAGTGTGTCCAGGATCTTGTCCTGACAGCTATGCAGGGAGAACTCCAACCCCTTCCTCGGTTTCCAACCCGTTTTAGCCAAGAATTGTATTATTTGCGGGTTCACCACAGGGGTCTTACAGGCTGCATCAGGTACCAAGAGGCGTGGGCATTCCACCAGCAGTTTACAGCGCCCTTCTTTAGATAAGGGGGTGCGCATCCTAAGAGCTAGATACTGGGCTATGTGCTCGGGGGGCTCCCACTCTGCCAAATGTGGATGACGAAGGTTGTCCAGGTCAAACAGGGATCCCTGTGGATCCCAAAGTCCCAACTCCACCCTCATTGGGGAAAGGACCGCTCCTTGAGATACTGAGGCATCGCCTAGGGTAGGGATCATGTCCCGGGGTTTCTCAATCTCCGAATCCACCTCCTCATAGGAGGAGTAATCAATATCCTCTAACCTGGACCCCTCACTCTGGTGGCTGTCTGACCCTTCCTCTCAGGCCCACACCCGTTTCCATTTTCTGGTTGCTTTTGCCCGACCAGTGGCTCTTTTGCGCAGTATTGCACCATCTGGGACCGCATCGAGCATGTCAGTCAATTCAGGCAAGGCCTGATTCATCGAGTGAGGGGAGACGTGCTTCATCTTGGTCGTGGCTTTGCGTGCCGTTGGTGCCAACTTATCTGCCATGACCATAGTAGCAGGCGACACCTGGGATATAAGCAAGGCTTGGGCCAGGATCTGGGAAATACAGGAGGACACATATGGCGGACACAAGGGCCGTTGGATGGACCCTGTCATGGTGGAGTCCAAGAGAGCCTGGAACTCCACCGAGGACATAACTCCTTCCTCCTATAGGTGGTCAAAGCTAACACCCCAAGTTGAAAGAGTCAATAGTGAAACCCAGGGCAGCAGCCACTACTCAGTGGTGGTGATCTGGCAGAGAAGCCTGTCAGGATTGCTAGTTGATCCAACACGTAGAATTGTGTCACACCTAGGTCTAAAAGGTAACGTATTAAAAATGGCCGGACTTAAGGCACTAAAGAATAGTCAGGATACTTGCCAAGGTCGGTGGACACAGAATGGGGCACAACGATAAGGAAAAGCCAGAAGTAAGGGATACCAGAATACAGGTAAGTCAAATGAAGCCAAAGTCAATAATCAATAATAAACGCTCAGGAACACACTCTCGGACAACCACTAAGGGAAACCACGACAGGGCAATGAGGAAAAGTAGAATTATGTTTAAATAAGCCCTTAACAAACTTTGATTGGCCGAAATTGGCCTTTGACCCCAGAATGTGTGTGCATGTCCCCCGCGTGATGTCACATGCACGCCGACGTCGTCATCAACATGGGCAGACATGGGCCAGCATCCATCAACATATTGCAAGAGTCAGTAATGCAGACGGACTTGCGCAAATACTGCAAGGTGAGGAGGAATATGTTACAAAACCACACAGAACACTGGGAAGGTAGAATAACCCTTACACCATTACAGAAAATACTAAAAACAGGCTGTATGGGGCAGCCCTGATACCTAACAGAACCAAAGTAAAGCGTTGTGTAACCCTGAACCTGAGATCCAGCGGCGAGAACAAACGCTGTCTCCGCTGGGGAGCCCAGCAAAGCTGCTGAGCGGGTAGCGGTCTCGCACAGAGAGCAGGAAGGGAGGGGCAGGCACTGAGGAGAGACAGGCTGGTCCGGCTCCCAGGGAGGGAGATCCATGGCTCAGTCTGCACAACACAGCAAAGAGTTGGTGCACCCCAGCCACTGACAAACATAAAATAAAACTTTAACAATACAAGTCAGTAGTGCACAGATAATAAAAGCCCTACACAGTGAAATAAAATATCCACAAAATACTTAGCTGGTCTGAGGGAGCAGCAAGAAAGAGGAAGTTCACTGATTGGACCGTTACTTTTATAGACTATACTCTATATAATGTTGATTGGCTGCCCTGTCCCTAGGCAGTTTATTGTATTATACATTTTAAGTTAAACGTTGTTTCTCTCATTCTTGCTGCTGAGGGAAATAAATAGAAAGAAAATGCATAATATGAGCCTCCATGTCATTAATACAATGTAATCTCTCTCCTCTATTTTGAAATCATATTACAGATCTGTTAAAATTAATCCTTTATTTATCTTAAATTCAATGTAATCCAGTTACCAGGTGTAGATTTGTTGGGTAGATAGGCAGGTTGCTATTCCCTGGCCTCTCAGTATTTTACATAGCCAAAGAGGGACACTTTACTATTAGATTTTTAAATGTGGGTGTGACCAGGACGTTCAGTGACTTAGTAATAACAATTTATGCTGCTAAAACGAACAATATATTGTATCTACACAGACTGAATCAACACATTTATTGTAGTTTAAAGACACATTACTATGAATTTTATTGTTGTGGAGCTCCATTATAAATTCAGATGTACCAAAAATGCTGAGCTCCTATAAAACAGGGACATGAGGATAGAAAAGAGGGATGGAGCAATTTTGGCCCAAAATAGGAACTGTCCCTTCTAAATAGGGACAATTCTGTTCCAATCTAATCTACAACCCCAGCATGCCTCCCCCAACTGCAGGGACTGGCAGTCAGCACTTCTGCCATGTATGGTCATGTGACATCTGACATCATGAAATAACAACTATACCATCTCTCCTAGAAAGTGGGGTTATAGCTGTCTGAGATTAGCACTCATTAGTGTCAAAAATTAATACTGTCAGTATTCATGGCGACAACTTGTTTAGAAATATTGCTTAAATGTCTGCCACCCCATGAAATGCCGCCAAGGTCCCAAGGACCCACGTGGACCACTTATGAATTGTTCTTGCCTAGGTACTACAATTGTATTGACTAATTGAGGTAACTGGATAGCTATACGATTTTCAGAAGTTGGAGAAATGACATAAACATGAATACAACATTATACTGCTTTCTTTCCATCTGGCATCAATTAATGCATGTCATCAGTTGCATAAGTAGTTTGTATCTTAAAGGGATTATATAGTGTTAGGAATACAAAGTTGTATTCCCAACACTATAGTGTCCTCAAGACCCCTCCTCCCTCGCGGCCCCCCTTCCCTGTGGCAAAAAGGGTTAAAAATCCATTATGTACTTAAACGATTCCAACACCTATGTACCTTGGCACTTGGTCGGTGCTCCACCTCATCTGACATCATCTGATGTGGGACCTAATGCGCATGCACTGCGAACACTGCAAACACATTAAGCCCTCCCCCAAAAGAAAGAATCAATGTTTTTCTATGAGGATTCTATGAAGAATCAATGCTTTTATATGCTTTTCTTTCACTTCATGCAGAGAGTGAGGACGCTCAGCATTGGTTAAGGTAAACTTCCAGAAGCGCCTCTAGTGGCTCTCTGATACACTGCCACTAGAGACTGTCTTAGTACTGCAATGCAAACATTTACATTGCAGGACTAAGAGAAGCAGGGACACTGCATCCAGACCACTTCAATGAGCGGAAGTGGTCTGGGTGCCTCTGGGGTCCCTTTACGTACCCATCCCCACCTCATCTAGTATCCATTGATAAAGGGAGACAAAACTTCTCCTTTTTAAAAAAAAACCTTTCTAGGTGCATGTGCATACATTTTCTTCTTACTATTTTAAGCAGGGCTCTCTTTACATCTTTGTTTCTTAGACTATATATTAGAGGATTCAACATCGGAGTCACAGCTGTAAAGAGCACTGAAGTTACATTGTCCATTTTATCTGTATTTTGTGATGGTGGTTTTATGTATGCCAACACACCCACCCCATAGTAAATAAGGAGAACTGTCACATGTGACGTGCAGGTGGAGTAAGCTTTTCTTCTTCCATTTTTGGACTTAATTTGAACTATAACAGTGAAAATGTTTATATAAGAAATTAAACAAAACAAAAATGGGCACAGTCCAAATAGAACTGCTTCAATGTAGATTAGAATGAGTAAACTAGTTGTGGTACAAGAAATTGTTGCCAAGGCTTTATCATCACAGAAATAATGTTGAATCTTGTTAGAATGACAGTAGGGTAGTGATGAAGCAAAACCAGTAAGAAAACATGCATTCATACTTCCAAATAGCCATGGGGTTAGCAAAAGCAAGACACATTTTCTCCTATTCATAATAAGGAGGTATTGTAAGGGGTAACATATTGCAACAAACCGGTCATAAGCCATAGATGATAACAAGACTGACTCTGCGCATCCCATGAAAATGAAAAAGTACATCTGGGCAAAGCATTGTCCAAAGGTTATTGAGTTGTTTCTTGAAAGTAGAATGTCCATTAATTTTGGTAGAGTGACTGTGGTGTAAATTATGTCTATGATGGATAGGTTGCATAGCAAACAATACATGGGTGTGTATAAATGAACATTTGTTAATACCAGCATTATTATAACTAAATTTCCTATTAGACCAGTCACATAGATCAAGAAAAATAACATAAACAGGGAATGCTGATTTTCTGTGTTGCTGTAAAATGCCAACATGTGAAAATCTTTAAAGAAAGTGTAGTTGTCCATCAGCATATCTTTCTTTGTTCTACAAGCAAAAAATAAATAAATAAGTGAGTTTATTCAATTAACATGGAATTCTAGTTAATGGAAAACTGAAATTGCAAAATTTAGGCAAAAAGTGCTGATTTAGAAAACATTAGAAAAACATTCAACTCACTTAACTCATTTAATGTGTGACATGTCATGATTCCCTTTTATTCCAGAAGTTTGGTCCCTAAGCGGTTAAAGACTAAACTTGATGGATTCAAGTCTCTTTTCAGTCTATGTAAATTTACTCACAAGGCTGGCTTTTTCATCATAAATTTAAAATTTTCAGATAACTACACTTCATCATGTTTACAATACAATCACAATCCAAAACATTACAACTTTTTTTCTACCGGTAAGTTGACAAAGTTAGAAAGCATTATAAACTTAAAACCAAAATTAACTTGAGAGGACTGTGAGGTTAGATCCACAGGGAAGATCCATTATGGAAAAATTTGACCTGCCTTTTTGACACCTTTTATAGGGTACTGTTGATAATAATAGGTGACAATTTCTATTAATCTGTTGTGTTCTAAAATTATACTGATATGTGAGTTTGTTTCTTTATAGGGATACTCCACTGCCCAAATAAAAAAAAAAAGTAGTAGGAAATACTGTTCAGTAGATAAAGCCCAAATGAAAACATGCTTGCATTTAATTATGCATTTTTTATCGTTGATATATCTAAAACAACTTGCAAAAGTTGCAGTTCTCTTGTCTGCTGTGTTTGCATGCCCATCCCTTCTAAACCAGCCCAGACTTTCTGTTGCTGTCCATTTACAGAGTAAGGTCGGGGAACTGGGCAATTGCCTGCCTCTTGAGTTTAGCTCCACTGACATAAACAAATTAGGAAGTAACATGATAAGTTGTCTGTTTGAAAGTCAGGAGTGTAAAAGCTTACTGCAACACACAAAACAGTTAAGCAAGCTAAAAGTGCTTCAGGGGTTTAGAGAATCAATTTAAGTTTGTTCAGATCGGTTATTTTTGGTATAGTGTACATCAAGCATGTCAAACTCACTGCCCACAATGGTACAAGTACATGCTTGGTGTTATAGCAAGATAGGCACCTGCTTTCCCCACATTGCAGGTGCCTACTCTACTAAAACCTACCCGGCCAGGGAGGAGTGGTTCCTGGTGGCAGCGAGGGAGCTCAGTGTTCCTGCTCCTCACTGCTCCCTCGCAGGCGCCGTCTGTAGTGAAGCCGAGGCCAGAATATGACCTCATTTACTGGCACCCAGCATCACTAAACTGCACAAGGGAGCAGTGAGGAGCAGATAGAAGATCCCCACT